TCTATTACAGTCTGTGAAGAGTAAGAACAGTAAATGTAAGAACATTATGTACCCTGGCAAGTGGAGGCACCAGAAAGATGCAGAGCAACAAACCTGTCAAAGAATATAAGGTGAGCTTGAGGTAATCACATGGGTGTAGATGGATCTCTCCTATCTAGTCCCATCAAGATCTCACATCTTCCTCTCTCCTGTCCCTGACAATGAATACTAAAACCACTAGGAAAAATATTTGATGTCAAAAATGGTTAGCAACTAAATACAGCAGAAATGGTAATTCAATATCATATGTGAATTAATTGGATCATATTGTAAACAAACTTGAGAAGTTTGCAGATTTTGTTTGTCTTCATTGTGTATTATGAACAAAAGCTCATACACTGCAAGCAAATAACTAGGATACTTGCCTAGAGCTTCATGCATCAGATAAACAATTGGTTTGGCATTTTCAAAGGAACTTAACTGGTTGCCATGCCTCTTTAATCTATCTATATTAAAAATACACTTATCTATATTTATAATGTGTTAAATACTTTCATATTTCATGTTACATTTAGATTTTTTTCTTTGATATTGCCAATGTCAGAGAAGGATGGGTTTCAGTAAGCTGTCTGGTACTCTTGGATGTAGATAAAATATATGTAACTGAAACAGAAATTTCAAATTTGTTTCATGAAGACAAGATGCATTTCAGTTTTAAATCTTAATGTTAATATTATAGCAAAAATGGATTATTTTTTTTCTCCAATGTCACAAAAGACCAACAAATAAAGTGGTCAGTCTCCTTGCTCAGCTAACAGAGCAAAGAGAGAGGGATTCTTTAGAAACATTGATATATCAAGAAGAGTTTATATATGGAATTTACATTTTTAAAAAGAGACTTATTTTACTCTGTATAAAATCATATTTCACTGCAAAAAAATAACAGTTGGTTTCTGTGCAGTTGCCTTGAGACTTGCTTAGTTCTCATTATCTTCAATGAAAATTAATATGTATATCTGAGGAAATATTTCAGCCTTGAGAGAAAGAATGAGGAAGCATTTGTATTTAAGTGTCTACATAACTCCAACTTCTTTTGGTACAGCAAAATCTACTGTGACTCTTGAGATAAATTGGCTTTTCTCACACTGAATACACAGCTCCAAAAGAGACCTGCGTCTGGTGCTTGGTGTATGACTGAACTCATGGAATCAAAAGACTTTTGATGTTCTCTAGAACATTGTCTGGTGGGTGGAAAGGTAGAAGAGAGATATTTTATCCTCAGTTTGTGTTTATCTACAGTTTGTATTTTTCAATGTCCTGAGCTAACAAACTCTTTTCTGGTCATGTGTCAATCCTGCCTCGTCAGAGGGCTGTGATGGGTCTTAAGATTTCCAGTCTACTAGGGTAGGAAAGATGAAAAAGATAAAAAAGTTATTTCTCAAGAACACCCTCTCAAGTCTTTTCGGTAGATATGACATTCAGCAGAAGATTCCCTGTAGCAAAGTGCTGCCTGCTTTACTCCTGTCCACTTTTCCAGTTAAAACGACATTGCATCTAAATTCCTGCTTCACTTCTCAGCTAAACCTGCACCTCTGTATCAGCAATAAGTGTATTAAAAAGAACAGGCAAATGTGTTGACTCTCTTCTCTTCAACATTTCTTTTTTAAACATCTCTTGATAGTTTCCTCCCAGAAAGAGAGTGAGGAGTGTGTGCAAACACTTGTTCTCCACATCAAGCCTGACTGAACAATTTCTCTGCTATTCTGAGTTTCTGGTGAACTGAAAATTACCAGCTGTACTGAATTGTGACAAACACTGTGTATGTGTGTCTCTGTGTCTCTCTGCATGGAAGAAAATATATAAAAGGAAACTATCATATCTAATAACAGCAAAATAGGCTTCACATTTATGACCCAATCTAGCATTTTAATTCCATAGAATACAAATGCAGCCTTAATTTCTAACTACAGCATATTTCTTCAAGCCCTCACAGAAGCATACATAGAGCATATACAGAAGAAGAATTCTCTAATGCCTTTGCTGGTTGAGACATAGTCATTGAACAGGACAGCAACCACGTAAATGCAGCCATCATTGCACAGATTTGAAAAAGAAAATGAGACTGCACTAGGGAAGAAGACAGGTATTTTAGAGGTATGCAGCTTCCACTTCATACTTCAGGATGGCTGATCCACATCCAGATATACTCAAAGCTGATCAATATCAAGCTGATTTGCAAAAACAATAGAAACTCATTGAACTGCAGAAACACATTTGCCACCCTTTGATGTCTATATTCTTAGCATTAACATGACAACAATCTAAGCTTTCTCTGTGTGTGCCACATCACTCCCTCCATGTCAAAGTAAACCACAATAGCTATATAAAAAGTGTGGTCACAACCCAGCTAGCTAAATTCCTGACAAAAATTGATTTCAATAGCTTTCTACAGAATCTGCCAGAATACTGTTGGCCAACTCATACCATGAGTGCCTTTTAGGGTCATGGCTTTAAAAGAACAGAATTACTAAAATCTACCCATCTTTTCAGCTGGAACCCTCTCTATCTCACATGAATTATAGTCACACCTAATAGGAAGGAAATAGACAAAAGCCATCTGCACAGAGCACACCTAGTAGAAAGTAAATAATGCCTTCAGACCCTGAATGGGAGCACTTCATGTTGGCAAAATTGGACTACCTAGACTGAGATGCATAGTTGCATCCTGAAAATAACAGTTTCTAAAACTGTAATTCTATGAATTACACTTACCTGAGAACCTGGGAGACAACAATTCTTTCTGGGTATTCAGTTAACTGAAACCCATACCTGATTTTCTCAAAGGACACTGTAAAAAGTGCCACTTTTCTGAACATCATGGTCTGGCCAATCTATTCCCTTGACATGACTGCTCTGGCAGAAGGCCTCTTCACAGAAGATTTTCAATCAAATATGGTCTCTCTTTCACTAAAAGTTTGGAGTTCTGGGCAGGGATACATGCAAGAGCAGCAGACTTTGAAAGTCAAAGACATGACTGTAGTTTCACCATAATCATGACTATATAACCACTATATCTGCCCAGAAAAACTCTACACTGTAAGTGCAGCAAGGCCACTGCACCTGACAGGTGATCCATGCTATACACAGCAGAATTGCAGTGAGACTGTGGGAAACAGGACCCCTCCAATGTTTAGGTGTGAAAACTGGTGGGTTTTATTTTACCCAGCAGAGCTGGCAGGGACACAGACCAACAGTAGGCTTACAGGTTCATCAGACAGCAGGAGAGATGGCTTGTGACAGAGTCCATTCTGATGGGTTTAAGGGATAAAGTCCTTGGGTCTCTTTAATGGATTATGAATCTCAGGATTATGGGCTAGAAGGAGGTCACTGATGAACTAGAAAATGAGACAACTTCTGATTTCCCCCACTGTCACTGCAGTTTGTTCTGCTCTGAGTATTTGCCATATCCATGCTTGCATGAAGATTTGTGTGCAATGTCTGTCCAGGATTACCCTTATTCAGATGGCATGACGGTCCAGTGCTCTGGTCTGGCAAGATGAGGGAGAAGCACTGGAGACCTGCACTTTGTGCAGAATGGATAAAGTGAGATAAACTAAGGAGGATGTAAGTTAAAAAAGGAAAAGAAAAAAAAAAAAAACAAATATCCAGAAGGAGCAGAAAGAAAAGGAATAACAAGAGACTGGGCAGAGAAAAGAAGGACCAGAGTGGACAAAGAGAAGCAGCTGTGAAGGAAGTAAGAGCAGATGAAAACACCTTGGGAGACTGAAATACCCAGCTCCAAAGATCTGGGCTGAGACTGAACATGAGCTCATTTCACAGTAGACTCAAACAGCAGGAAACTCCTCATGCCCACGTGCAAGGGGAATGGTGGTGACAGTGGCATCAGGGGTAGAACTAACTTCACTCACCATTTGGGAGGTGGGAGATGGCACAGGGCAAGGGGATGCAAACAGCTTCAGAAGAACACTCCCAGGAGAAGGGAAAGTGACTGGTAGAAAACTCCCCCGTTCTCCATCTTTCACCCATGAAGACTGATGAACTTCTCTTCAGCTCTGTCCTGGTGTTTTCAGTGAAAGAATCCTGCTACCTTTCTCATAGTGGCAGAAGTAATTAAAAAGGGAATCAACTTCAGAGGAACATAAACATACACCAAAAGTCTGTCTCTTTAATGATATCTGCTCCATACTTCACTGGCAGGCATTCTGCTAATCTAATACCTGTTAATTCTATTTCTAATTAGGGCTATAGCTCACCAGAGGCTGTTTTATACTTAATTTGTTGGGGTTTTATTATATGGCTCAACAGTCAGCCAACCACTGTATGCATCATGTGATCCTGGTTGAGATCTTTCAGGCATTACTGCACACTGAGGCCCTTGGAGAGAACGTGCCACTACAATTTGTGAGTCACGCGTTCTTGCTCTGCCTAGGTCTTGTCATGTGTGTGCTTGTCAGGATTCATCTCCATCTCCATTACCCCAGGGGCAGAAGTCATAGTTTGTTTCTGCTCACTTGTCTGATTTTTAGCAGATCATATTCCCATCTCCAGAACCTTAAGCAAGTGCCATCTTTGTAGAATTTAAGGTGGAATTCTAAGTGGTAATTTAATTCAACTCAAACCCGTCTTCTAATTGACAGGAAATATCCTCAGTTCAACCATTTTCCAAGGTTGATGTTGACTACTATACAAAGAAAAATAATTAAACTAAAAGCATTCTTCATGGTAACCAAAATGAAAACTAATTTTCTTAAGTGTTTTTCTTGTAATTCTGTCATTTTAAAAATACTTTATTTAAAGAGTTTGAAATGAAGATCTGAGGCAAGTTTTAATTGTTTGAAACACATATCTGAGGGACTTACATTCATTAATTCCATTTTAGCCAGGAAGGATTGAAACCAAGTTATGCACCAGTTAAATAATTACCTGGGAAATTACAAGGATAAAAATAAGAGGACACAGACAAGCAAAGTCCATGGGGCTTTATTGACCAGAATAGAATACAGGCCAATGAAGAAACATTTAATTAAGACACTGGAATCCAGACCAGGGGACTGACCAAACTTTGTTTTGCCTCTAGAATGTCAGCTGCCAGGTAAACAAGTGTATTAGAGCATCATTGACTCCAAATTGGTGAGCAGAGAAGGTCACCAACAGCTGTTAAATAGTAAACCTCATCCTCCATCTCTGTGGGTGCCAAGAAGGATGACATGCAAAAGTTGTTCAGTCACACACTGAGGGTGTTGGTAGTAGCACTTGTTATGTCATCCTAAACACCGCATCTGTTCCAGAGAACCACTGTCCTTCTTATCTGAATCCACAAAGGGCTTAACAGTCACACAAGCAATTCCTGTGACTGGGAATTGCAGATCTTATAGAAGCAATATAATGGAACTTCTTGCCTATCTCCAGATAGCAGGAAATAACCTCAGAAAATTCCTCCTTTCTCCACTGTCATCTGGTAGGGTTTTACTGGAAGAATGGAGAATACAAATGAGGATAACAGTGGCTTTTGTGGAAAATCTTCAGACACCATACATTAAATAAAAATAATAAATAAAATAATAAAGAATTTATAAATCCATATAATCCATATATAAAGGTAAATAACCAAGTCAGCCCATCTAGCCATATATCTAATAGCTTTAAAGATGTGACCTAGCTTCAGCCAGCTCAAAAGAGCTGTTGGTCTGGATCTGGTTTTATCTACAGAAGTATGCTAAGTCACATAATCTTCTGTGGTATTCCAGTGGGAAAACTGCAGGAATCAGAGTTCCTAGACTGGGAAGTTCATGGAAAAGTGAAACAAGGAAGCTGGACTTCTACCCACTGCATGTGTAGCTGCACAAGTCACAGCTGGCAATTCAGAAGTGAGGTCAAGTTATCCTCTGTCAGCCATGGAAGATTACTTGCTCCAGGAATAAATTAGCTAGGCACAAGGTAATGTGTTATTTCTTGTCCACCCTGAAAAAGAAATGAATCAACATATATCAGCTGAAAAGGTTCTTCCTTTCCCATGGTAGAACACAAAGCCCAGCAAAACAGACAACCCAAACTTTACCAGCAAAACCTCACAGAATGGAAGAAGCCTCAGGCTCTGAGGGGACTTATATTGGAGATTTGGTAAAACTATATTTTTCTTCATATACCCTGGCAGGCCTAGGTAGATCTCTAGAAGGGAAGACCTTGTATGGAAGAATGAAATAGAGAGGATAGATTTGCACAATGCATATTGAAATTATGGGTGTTGGTGTTACCCTGTGCTAGGCAGGCATAATAAACTTCTCTGAGAGACAGTGAACACAGAATAGAATAGACATAGAATCATAAAATGGCCTGGGTTAGAATGGACATTAAATACCATCTCGTTTCAACACCCCTGCCATGAGCAGGGACACCTTCCACTAGACCAGATTGCTCAGAGCTCCATCTAACTTGGCCTTCACAACTTCTCTGGGCAACCTGTTCCAGTGCCTCATCACCCTCACAATAACAAATTTCTTCCTAAGATCTAATCTAAATCTACACTCTTTCAGTTTAAAACCATCCCCCCATGTCCTATCACTAAATGCTTATGTAAAAGGTGCCTTTCCATCTTTCTTGTAGGCTCCCTTCAGGTATTGGAAGGCTGAAATTAGGTTGCCCCAAAGCACATGCATGATGGTCATGTCCATTGGGAGTCTTCAGACAGAGCTTGGGTTCTTGACCCGTAAGTCTCTAGCCCAGGGACTGCTGGAGATAAGAAGGAAGGAGGAGTCACTCCAGAAAGGGCCAGTTCCTGAGTTCTGCAGGGATGTGCTGCTGGCTCATCAGAGAAAAAGTGCTAGGCTGCATAGAACTTCTCCACAGACAGAGCAGCTCTTCTGCTCTCTAGTCACCTGTCACCTGTATTCCTTCCTGCTTTCAGGTGCATTTCCATGCAGTGCTACCATCCCTGGACTCCTTAAGAAGGATTGCAAGCATCAAGGGACATTACTGCTGATGCGATCATCAATAACTGCTGCTGGAAACCCATGCAGAAATATGTGCTGTGCACAGGGAAGCAGACAGCAACAACACCCAGCTCTCCTTCCCTCTCTCTCTTCCCCCACCTGTAACTGAAATTCAAGGACTGCAAGTCCCACTATGTCCTGTCAGGATAGTTCCATTCCTTGGGGAAGGGGTTAGCAATAACAAGCCATGCCTTAGCTGCAGTGTGCCACCCCATATGTGTAAAAACCAGTATGTGCAGGTAGACATCTGATTTTAGCCAAGATTTTTTGAATGGGCAAGAATGAGGGATAAGAGAAAATCCATGTGCACAGGCTGACCAAAATAACAGTGTTTTTCTTGATCTAATTTTGGGGCTAATTTTCTTCTCAGAAGGGACAGAGAAGTCAGATTGTGGAAACACCTCAGTCCTTTTAAGACAAGCCACAGCCTTGCACCTTTGAGGAGTGAGGCTTTCTGTAGTCCCAAGCATTTTGTAGTGACATTTATATACAAATCACCAAGTCAGGGTCAAGCCAGGCCTGACAGGAGTGGCCAGAGTCAAACACATTCTCATGATCAGCAGGCAAGACAGGTCCCATGTCAAGCTAGGAGCAGGGGCCATGGCCAGGTGTGACTGAAACACAGCTGGAGCTACAGCAGAACTCAGCAGAGACTGAGCTGCAGTGGAGCCCCTGAGCAGAACATGTGGGTGGATGCCCTATGGGAGTTTGATAAGAGCAGCTAAGGCTCATTAATGCACTCAGGACCCTGACACAATTTTTCTAGGACATACACAGCAGGAGAGGTGAAAAAGTACCATGGAAGTTTGGCCTGAGCCAGGGGTTACCCAGCAGAATAAGAAGCCCCAGCTGTTCCAGTGTGATCCATGCCACAGGAGTGTCAGACTCAGATGTTTCCTGTCTGATCCTTTTGCCCCAGAACACCTGAAAAACAGGCAAATAATGGTTAGAGCCAATCTGCAGGGGCCATGCCCAAGAGAAGAGGCAGCCACCCAATGTGACATTTGCTTTCCTTACATGCAGAAGAGCCAGCAACAAACAAACTCTTAAGGGAGGTTAGGAGGAGCATTAAAGGCTTTGAGTTGCAATAGATTTTTAAAACAAGCATGATAAAATTAAGAGGGAGGGAGGGAGGGAAGAAGGGAGGAAGGAAGGAAGGTATTGCATAAGTACCATTTCATGGGAAAGCAAGTTAAGAGGAAAAAATACCTATTACGTGATAATCACTCTAATTAATCTTTACATTAATCTTTACATACTAGTTATAAAAGCTCTATTAGAAAAAGCAAAAACAGAAAAAAAGATGTTTTAGGGGATATTTAAAATGTAAGATACTAATATTTTATATTTTCTTGAAACACATAGATCAAACTGTCTGTATTGAATAGCTTATGCCTCATTTGTAAGGCAGAAGAGCATTAAAAAAGTTTTGAATCTTGCACAAGATCAGAGTGAGAGTCCATTGCAGGGTTGATAACACTACCTGAGCCTTAATACCTAAAACGACTGAAAGATAAGTATTATAACTTTATTAAATTGCTCTTTCCATAACAGAGCAAGGAGAGAGATAATAACAGGGCTATCAATTCATCACATTTGTCAAAACAGAAGAGCAGACAGCTACTTTTTGAAATCTTCATGTATCAGGGAAGATACAAATAATTCCTTTATGTTTTATATGTGGTATTTGCGAATAAAATAATAATGTGAAAGAGCATAATCTTTGGATGTTTCTTCAGGTTTCACCTCCAAACTCTATAACTTTCCTCCTTCCCTACTTCCAAAACATATTATAAAAAATATGGCTGGAAGCATTCTCAGAAGTCAGCTTAATTTCTCCTTTTAACCCACATCTAGACATAACTGAGAAATACTTGCCTGAAACAACAGCAACTATCTCCCTTAATGATGGAGATTTACAGCTTTCTCAGGCAATATAATTCATTGCTAGGGTACCCTTTCATACTTTACCCCTTGATTTGACCATGAATCTCCTTTACTGCAGTTTAGATCCATTATCTTTTGTCTTACGCACTGTGAATGCTCTGACAACAAGCTATTACTTCCCAGCAAGCGCTTGCATACCTAAGGAATATTTCTTCTGCCTTCCTTTGGAGTTCTCTTTTTCAGACTAAATAAACCTAATTCTGCTTTTGTTTTCCTTGCTGATCACAGTTTCCAGTTATTCTTTTTAATCTCTGCAGAGTACATCCATTTGGACCACATATTTCTGAAGTATGGTATCCAAAACTGTATGGAACAATCCAGCTGCGACTTCCATTCATCCACATTTTGACATCTCCAGATGTTTTCTTTTGGCTTGATTTAGTCTTGTGCAAGCTCTTTCAGTATATAAGGATGTGAATATTTGGGAAAAAAAATAAGGCACCAAATTAAAAACTGAAGGGTTAAAGCATATAATACAGGAGTTTGAGGGACCCAAATTGTGAGAAGTGAACAGAATTACAGTGCTAGAAGCTGCTATTATTAGGAATAACAAGAAGTTCATACAGGAAATACACAACCTTATTTCTGCCTGATTGGTGCCCTACATTACTATAAGCATTCTAGATGGCCATAAGATCCTTTGGAATTCAAAGAGTCAAAGGCACCTCTCTCCTTATAACCTCAGATCCAGTTCCTTAGAGAAGACTATCCCAGTGTGATAGTACTTACAAATTTTCTTCAAGTAGAGGTCCTTCAGTGAATCCCTGAAATTTGTTCCTCATGCTATGCAAGCCAGCCCAGTGCGACCTTTCCAGGAGCAGAACAATTGTGCAAGCCCCATATACTAATTTCATATAGCTATGACATAGTAAAGAAACCATCTCAGCAAATAAGAGTATGAAGACTGAATACCTTGATTGCTGTTTTCCAAATGTAGTTTCAGCAAGTCTCTGAAAAATTGTGAGAATTGTTTTTCCTTGACAAGACTGTCATTGATTCTCCTTCAATACAAGTCAGGTTTGATCTAGATGAAATGTGTTCCATAGCACAGCCCTGACTCCTGAAACTCTAGTTATTTACGTTACTCTTCAACCTCACTGAAAGTTGCTGCTCAGGAAGAATTGCAGACAGGATTATGACCAGCCACACAAGTGGAGCTAAAAATAGAGGGGGTTCTGTTAGCAAGGAAATTTTATAAGGCACATGAAGCCATATCAGTGCATTTGTGAATGGCCTGGTTTTCAAAATTATCTTTATCTAGTCACCACTGGATACATATTAATCTTATTCCAACACAAAATCTATGTTTGGAGACCCCTTTCTATAAGCTCTGGCCAGCATATGTGATTCATAGGTCTATGATAATTTCATGATACTGTGAAAACTTCATGAGAGTGCTCCAGCTACAGTCCCTGGAGGCCAAGTCCAGGATTTTCAGGACCTTCTGTGATGGGGAACCTTGCAGCTTTCAGAGCCTCCTTCCTCCCAGAGCCTTCAGACTTATAGTTTTGGGGAACCTCAGACTCTACTAAGGAACCCAAAATTTGGCAATATGCATGCCACGTGGATCTCCCATGAACCTGAGTGATGAGTTATCTCCTTTGCCAGGAATCCAGCAACTCAGACAGGAATTCTACTGGACACCCGAGTTACAAAGTAATGAAAAATACTTGTGAAATACTCACCCTCACTGAAATATTAATTGATCAAACCATATTTGACCAAACTTCAGCCTAACTTTGAGAGAGGTACATTTGCCCTCAAAAGAGGCAATACATACAGATACATATATAGTTGCTTTTCAGAGGCTGTCTTTTCCCAGTAGCTGCAGGATCATGTCCAGGCAGGCTACAGTTACCAGTGACCAACATGGGACTCCAATGAGACAGGCTTCTGCTCAGGAAACCATTTATTCAGCACGCAAACAAACTCAGCCTAGAACCAGAGATAGAGAGCCCCAAACAGAGGCAGGGTGATGTGTTTTGTGGGACAGAACCAGGGTGGAGTTTAAGGTTGGGAACTAATAGGAACAGAGTAAGGGAGAAACTCCAGGGGCCCAAACCCAATCAGAACCCCTGGGCTGCCACCCCATGAGGGGTCCAGGGTGGAGCAATTTTTCCCAGGCTCACAGGGCCCATCCCCTGAAGCAGAGGAATTGAATTCACACTTCCCTGGCTTTAAAGAGCCACACCTCTCACTTTAACGACGCTTATCTGAAACTAAATCTTTGCCTTCCTGGGCAGGGGGCACCTTACACCCAAGTGTTCTCTTTGCCTCATTAGAGTGATGGAGGGCTGCTGGGAAATGAGAATTATTCATAATTCCAATATTCCAACAGCATAGTGGCTGTCATGGTTTTGAAGCAGTAACTAAAAAATTACTAGAAAACTTACTTATTTCTTGCTGTGAGATATGGATTAGAACAAGAGCAAAACAGGCTTAAAACTAAAAAGGAATAAAGTTTATTAACAGAACTACAAGAATAAGAAAACCAGATCAACTTCCAGAAAACCTCTTTCTCCCCCACTACCCAACTATTCCCTTGTTCACATGACAACTTAGAGACAAAAAACTTGGAACTTTGGTGTTTAAATCAGTCCCAATTCCTGTTAGAGTCTTTTCATCAGTCTTTGTAGAGAAACAGAAGTCTTCTTCTGCTAATCTATGGAGTTTTTTACAAGAAAACTATTTCTGTTATAGCTTCCTATTTCTCTGATGCCAGCTGCCCGGAAAAAAATCTGTTGTCAGTCTATTCCTCCCATTTCACATCACTCTGAGGTGTGTTATGGGCCATGAATCTAGTGATGTCATTTTTAAGGATGAGTTATTCAAAGGCAAAAGTTCTCTTCATCTGTCTCTGTGAGCCTCCCTGGAACCAAAGTTTTCTCATTGCCTCTCAAGGCCTCTCAAATCTTAAACTATTACTTCACCTCACTCTGTTCCAGCACCTCACTGTATCACAATTACTCCACCTTTTGCTCAAAATTCACACTTTGAATACTCTATTCCTCCCAATATACTCTGTCATGAATTATAGGAGTTTTTTCAGGACATTATTGTCCATCTCCATAACTTTAACAGAAAAATATTTCAGCTTAATTAAAACACCTCCTTATTCTCTACCTCTTCTGAAGCTTAATTCTTTTCTTTACTGTCTCTGATAGTTTATAAAGTCTCTTTATATGTTGATTACTCTCTCTTTCTTTCTCTGGAAAAAAGGATTAATCTTCAAGTCTCATCTGGGTAATGAAAAGGTTAAAATCTTGCCCAGACTTTGTAGATGGTTCTGTGACCTCTGCCGAAGCAGCAGCTGGAGGTGTCTGCGATGGAAGATTTTTCATGGCTGCTCTGGAGAGTGTGGTCACTGTCTCAGCCCGCCGCAGGTCAAGAGCTTTTTCTTTCTTTGCTCGGCAGTCTCTGGTGAATTCAGTCACAGCAAAAAAAACTGCAGCTGAGCCAGGGACCGGCCTGGCCTGGCCAGAGCCCGGGGCAAGCCCCGCAGGCCCCATCTCCCGGCCGGGAGCTGCGGCAGGCCCAGCCCAGCCCCTGCCCCACGGGGCTGCATGGCCTGGGCAGGGGTCGGGAAGCCAGCTAAAGCTCTGTTACCTTTCACAGCCAGGAAACAAAGAGACCAAGAAATTCCCAGGCTTAGGTCTTAAGGTGGTGTTCACAGGTTGATCTCGCTTTTCAATGGTCAAAACTGCTGTCAATTCTTAGAAATGGCCAGCTGTTGGCCAGGAGAAAAACTCCCGTCAGCCTCCAGCGGTTTTAACTTCCTTAGGTGTTTCTCTTAGTTTTCTTAAATGCCAATCTATCACAGTGGCCCTAATTTTCTGAGTTTTCAAACATTGCAGGAAACACAGCTGTAATGAAAGTTAATATACTTATGACTGTGTTGAACTTTGTCTCTATAAAATCCACTGCTGTTCAAAGTAGCGTAGTTCCATTCATCTTCCATGGTGGTGTTGGAGTCTGAG